ACCGATGAATGCAATGGCCTCCGGAAAGAACTGCGACAGGTTCTGGCTCCAGTGGTCGGAGATGGGGATCTGCTTGTAGTGAAAGTCACCATTCTTCTCGAAGAAGTTTGGGAGGTTGGGGGTGACATTGAGGATGTAGCGAATGCCCAGTTTGGCCAGGCTCTCCAAGTTGGCTGAATCCCGGGCGCTGCCCAGGTAGAGGTTGGGCAGGATCTGGACAGGGAAGGATGCCCGAAGCCCCACTGGGGGGGGTGTGACACCCTCCGAATCCAGGCCGCAGCTCATGGAGTCGCGGTCAGCCTCGGATTCCGCATCAGAGCAGTCGGAGCCCAGGCACAGGCTGCCCAACCCCACCACGGGCGCTGGACTGGGCAGCGGGGCCAAGCTGGAGCTGGCACGGCCACTCAGACTGGTTTCACATAGGTGAGGGCACTCGGCCTGGAATCTGCTGAAGCCACCTGTCAGGGAGAGGGCATAGGGCCTGCTGACCTGGCCTCCTGGGCAGCCAAGTGCCTCTGTCTGGGGCTGGGGAGCTAACCCTAGACAAGTCAGGGGGTTTGCAAATGTTCCCAAAGGGAACACAAAAGCCAGCAGCTTGGTATGTCCTGGTGCCCACATGGGGCCCTAGCCACCCTCACTGAGCACTCTTGGCCACTGCTCTGGACAGCAAGTGCCCACTGCAGCTGCTGGGGTTGCAAGAAGCTGGGCTCACGCTGAGCCACCCAACAGGATCTTACACCCCTAGGGTCAAGCTGAGTCTACATGTACTGCCAGCCTCAGGGGGGACTGTGGCCATCAGTTTAAGACAAGGAAGAGCCCAGATGTCAGTTCTCTGCCTGGGCGTCTTCTGAGTATGCTCAGAGATGAAGTGGGACCCCAAGATGTGGGGAGCTTGGGGGAGAATGGAACATTCCACCAGAATGGCTGTAAAGTCCCAAGAACCCAGCACCTCTGTTTACAGATACTACTGTTTTCCCGGGCTGGAAAGCTGACACTTTATATGTCCCTAACACAGTCCAGTGGACCTTTCTTGGCGACGGCTGGCTCTGGATTCATGAGAATCCTGTCTCTCACCTGGGCCTGTTCCGCCTGCCTCCCCTTCCTTGATCCCCCCCAGCCTTCCACCCCCGCCCTGCTGCTGTCTGACCTCTGCCTCCCTTGCTCACTGCAGAGACCTGGGAGGGCCCGCACTTTGTACTTCCCTTTTGAGCATCCTGGAAACTAGCTCAGGTCAGGCCAACTTCCCATTTTCCAGACTCAGAGACTGGGGCTTCAGAGTGAAGACCCTCCGGAGGTCGGGGCTCCCCTCCTCTCAGAGCAGCCTGGCAGGTCATCAGGGGAGGGGGGCCTCAACCCGCTTTGGAAAACAAGAGGTAGGGCTGGCCTAAGGTGAAAGGAATCCCGAACCCCCTGGGAAGGAGGGCCCCGAAGCACCTACCCTGGAGGTAGTAGGCAAGGTAGCCTTCCTCCCGCAGCTTCTGCAGCAGGGTACCCAGCACTGACTCGGCTTCCCACTCCTCCGTTTCAGCCTCGGCCTCCCCGCGCCGGCGCCGGCCCCCACCCTGGTCGTACAGGAGTACTGGGGCAGGCGGGGGCGGCTGGAGCGGCGGTCCCGGCAGGAGCGCGCGCACCGACAGGCTGCCCCTCCGCAGGCGGCGCAGCAGCAGCGCGGGTAGGGCCACGCTCAGCGCCCCACCGATGCGCGCGGACTCGTACAGCTCGCGGCTGCGGCAGTCCAGGAGCAGCAGCTGCGGCCGCGGGGGCGACAGCTCCCGGCGCAGCCACAGGCACGAGCGCCCCAGGCCCTCCATCGCCGCTCGGCTTCTGACACGTCGGACCGCGGGCACTGCGGAGAGAGGGAAGGCGGTGTGAGCTCCCGGGGGGCCGAGGGGGCTCAGACAGGAAGCCGGCCCGGCGTCCTGAAGGCGGGAGCCCAGGGCCCCCCATCGCGAGGATTCCCAACAAGGTGCCCCAAGAAAACCCCCGAGGCAGTCTCTCAGCACGGGGAAAGGTTCTCCAGAAAAGGGTACCCCGAGGCCGCAGCTGTTTCCCTCCATATCCCCTTTCTGCTCCTCTCTCTCGGCCTTCCCCCGATCGCTCCCCAAGTTCCACCTTCCGACTTTGGTGGGGGGGTGTGAGTGTGAGGGGTGCCGTTCAAGACCCAGATCTCCCCCATGGCCAGGTGGGCCAGGGAACAGAGGCGGAGCAGAGGCGCTGGGCCTCAGCGAGTCCTCTCAGAGGTGACCTGGCCCCCGGTGCCCCATCTCCCCCCACCCTCAGGAGAGAACAAAAGGAGAGAGACCTGGAGCGCGATCCGGCGGTAGGCGACCGCGCGTAGACGTTCTGGCCACGGCCACTGCCACAGCGGAACGCGGGGCGCCGTCCCGGGGCAGGGAGTCCCTAGGCCCGGCCGCTAGGAGAAGGCGGGGCGGCGGTGCAGGCTCGCACGTGGAAGCCGAGCCCCGCGCGCCCGCTCAGCGGCCGCTTCCTGGCAGCTGGACCCAGCTTCCACCTTGGAGACAGCCTTGGGACGTGGAGTTACAACTCCGAGGGGCGGGCCGGGGCGGGGCTGCGGGGGCGGGCCTGGGGGCCAGTGAGCCAACGGGTGCTAGCCGAAGGAAGCAGTCGGGTGGGACCTGCGAGTAGGCTGAGCTGGGGCTTCCACCGAGGCGGGACGGGGTCGGGGCAGAGGCCAAGGGCAGGTCAGGGGCCCAGCAGGGGACCAGCTGCGGCTCCCCTGGCCGGCGCCAGCCTGGCCTCGGGAGGCAGGGGGAGGGGTGGGGACAAGAGCCCAGCCCCCCTGCTGCAGAAGCTGCCTCCAACCCAACTCACTTGGTGATACTAGACCATCCTCTCCCCTGCCTGGATCTCAGTGGCACCATCTCTGTAATGGGCTCATAGCTACTAGCTTGGCCAAACATGGGATGCCACTGAAATGGCCCAGGGAAGGAGGAAGCAGGACCAGAAACTTTCTGCAGCTTTGGCCCAGAGCTCTGCTGCAGGGCTAGACAGGCAGAGGAAGCTCCTGGGCACCTCCCACCTTAGCCCGCTTCACTCACACAGCACTGGCCAAAAGCACCCTGGAGCCCTGAGCTCCCAGCCCTAAACTGATCCTAAGAGTGACCCCTGGCTCCCCTCTTGGCTGATCAACATGGAGAGAAGTAGTTTCCAGCTAAATATCTCTCACATCCACGCCTCTCTCCCCTGTCCCCTTCCCTAGCCAAGGGCTCAAATTCATCAGCTCTAGGCCAGGTCACTGTCACGTCTTGCACAACAGTCTCCAGGCCTCCGGGCCTGCAATGACCTGCCCTCCACCCTGCCCTGCCCTGCCCAATGTCAGAATGCCATCCACTCAACCAAGGCTGGTGGCCTCCATCCTTTCCTCCATGGGCACAATAGGCAGGGCAGATCCACAGGCAGCCAGGGCACTGCACAAGGTCTCAGGTGTGGTGAGCGCTGAGACAGGAGACCAGGGTCAGCGGGAGGTGTCCACAACACTGGCCTGGCTAAAAGTCCCCTCTCTGCTTAAAGCCCAACAAAAGCAAATAACAGTGTTGAAGGAAAATGTACAATAGATAAGATAAAGCTCATACCCAACCAAAAGGTTAAGACCCCTGTAGATAAATGGGCAAAGAACCTGAAAACACTGCATACTGCAGGAAGGAGGGAATGCCACGGCCTTACAAATATTTGGGGGAAGGTTCAACCTCAGGCGTGGAAGGAAAGCAGCTCCAAAAAACAAGTAACAACGACCAACGAGGTAACACTTCCCACCTTCTGTGCTAGAAATGTCCTCAGGTTTGAGAACACCCAGTGCTGGCAAAATTGCTGTGAAATCAACGTGCTGTTCAACTGTTGCAGGGTTATATATTGGTACGGCCCTTTTGGAAATTAATCTGGCAATATCAAGAGCTAGGAAAAAATCCCAACCCTTTGACCACTTTTGGGAATCTAAGGAGCTAAAGTAAAAGAAATCAAAGTTATGCACATGAGGATGGGCACCACAACACACTTCTCTAAGGAGTGGAAAATGGAAAGCCAGTCATTACGGCCAGTCGGTCCGCCAGAGAGTCCTCTCAGGAGCCACGGAGTCAGAGGAGAAAATGTCTGAGGTCATGGTTAGGGAAGAGGGCAGGTGATGGAAAGCTGGGGGTGGGTGAGTGTGAGGGGTGCCGTTTGAGGCCTAGATCTCCCCCACGGCCAGATGGAGATCACCTCTAAGGGGCTTCCAGTTTCCCCTCCCCCTCCCTTCTGGGCAGTGGGCTGCTAGCCGGGGACTCCCAGGACCTTGGCACTGGGCTGCTGTCTGGCCACACCCCCATGTCCCTGTCTCTAAGATGAGTCCTAATTCACGCATCCAGGGGCTTTGGGCAGCTGGACTGTGCCCTTCCTTCTCTTGCCCAGTGGGCATGGGCCGCAGCCCAGGCCTCCCTCCTATGCCCCCTGCCCAGGTTCTGAGATTCTGCTTCTTTCTTCAGGCCCCCTCCTCCAGACAGCCTTCCCAACTCGGAGCCAGTGGTCTCCCTCCTTTGTGCTCCCCAGTGTGGTCACTTTCCCCTTTCTCAGTGTGTTCCTGGGGCAGGAACTCTGACTTCTGTCTTCTGCCTCCTCCTATCTCAGCCTAGCCCCACAGTGGTGGAGGTGGACACTGGTGCCCAGCCCAGAGGCAGCCCCACTGCAGCTGTGGGTGGGAGCTCAGAGTGGGCAGGGATTGAAGGCACCACCGAGGTTCTGCCATGTGCCAGTCTGGTTGTGGCTAGTGGAGGTGGCACAGGGCTGTGAGCAGCCCGGAGCTAGACAGCCGTGTTCCCCAGAAACCTCCCACCCCCAGGTATTACAAATGATCTGGCTAGGTGGCTGGCCACAGCGCACACCAGAGGGTCACCCCCCCCCCCCCCCCCCCCCCCCCCCCCCAGCTCAGTCTGGCTGGAGAGGGAGCTCCTGAAGTGCTTAGGCCGCTCTGGAGAGGGCTCCCTGGAGGTGAGAGGAGCTGGGCTAGGATGCGGATGAAGAGAGGCAAGTCTGAAATGGTGAAGGGAGGGGAAGGCCAGGATCCAAGAGTCCACGGCTGGCGAGGGGCTCCCTGAACGTAACTGCGGAGCCGTGCTGGCAAGCCCTCCCACCGGGAGAAAGCATTTAGGACGGGGCCATAAGAGCCTCATGAGGAGGCCATGAGGGGCTCAATCTCCAAAGTCAGAGCTCAGAGTTCAGGGCCCACAGCGCCCGCAGCGCCAGCAACAGGACAAACGGGAACCTGTTGCCGCCTCCGCACTGCAGGGCTGAGCGCAGCCAACCTCCTAACCCCTCTCACCGGCGACCCTCGCCTGACTGCCCCCACTCAGGCCCCCAGCAGCGCCAGCTCTGGGCGCCGCCGAGCCCCGCAGCCGCTCCCGGGTGGGCTGTGCTGGGGGAGGCCGCGTCGCGCGCCCGGGCCTCTCCTGACCCCTCCGGCGGGCGGAGCCAGGCCGCGCGCTCGCTGCTCGTCGCAGGGTGGGCGCTGCGCCCGCCTCCCCGCCCCCGCCGGGCACCCCGGGCCTCTGCCTGGCCGGGCCTGCGCCCCCTGGAGGCCGCGGGGAAGCCGCCGTCTGCAGGCCTCGCGCGTGCCGTGTGCGCCCTCTGGTCCCGGGGGCCTCCCGAGAGCTGCGCGGCGCTGCCTTCCCACCCCGAAATGCACCGTTCCCGCCGGGCCGAGTGGCAGGATTTCGGCTGTCGCGGCAGGGTCACATGGCCAAGAGCACAAGTCCCAGCGACAGCGTGTCTGCCAAATCCAGTGTCTTTTCCATCAAATCCACTTTCTGCTTTTCCTGGTTGGTCTCCTCGCGGGACTGGGAGTTCGTCCAAGGCAGGAACGTGTGTGTGCCCGGCCCCAAGCTGGCCCCAGCCCCCAGTGCAGGGCCTGGCACGCGCCCGGCGCTCGCGGAAGAAATGCTCGTTAACAAAGAAGGCATGAATGAATGAAACCAATTGTTGCCTGAGGGAGCTGCTCCTGCTTTTCCTTCTGCCGATCACACACTCCTCCCCCACCCCGACACGCACAAGCACACGTGCACATACAGCTCTCCCCGTAACACACACGCAGGCCGGCACCCAGACAGCGCGCGCGGACACCAGCTCGCATGGAACCCACCTACTACGTGCTGGTCCGGCAGCTGGCGCCCCTTTGGTCCCACCTGGGCCGCCTCCATTTCAGCGGCGGGCTCTCTCCACCTCCTCCCAGCCCCTCCCCCCGGCCCCTTGCCTTCACATCTAAGTACCCTACCTTGCACCCCAAGTGCCTTCTTTATCTCTTAGGGAAGAGGCCAAGCCAGTCGCTGGGGAGTCTCAAGGTCTGTTTAGGGAGGCACCTGGGGAGCCCAAGGCTGATCAGCCGCTGCCGAAGGAGAGCCAGAGGTGTCTGGCAGGGATGCCACCAAATGCTGCAGCCTCTAGAGTCCGCGTGCCAGGTGTTGGGAGGGAGGGACTCAGAGATGTGCTGGGGGTGTCGAAGGGTATTTGTGATGCGGGCGGGGTAGGGTGCTGGAGAGCGTGAATCCAGCAGGTGTGCGCGCAGGCTGGGGCGGATGAGAGTGCGCGCTGGAGATGCTGGAGGTGTGTGCCTGGTACGTGGGGATGTGGATTTGTGATGGGACCTCGCTCCCGGGTGGGTGGACTGCAGTGTCTCTGGGCTGGGAACCTGGGTGGGGTGTCTGTCATGGGATATGGGGAGTTCAAGGTGGCAAGGGCATGGTAGGGGGAGCTATGTTAGTGCAGGTATCGCAGAGATGTGTTGGAAGCATGCGTGTGCGCCTGGGTGTGTACTGGGGCGTGGCAGGGTCTCCGTGGGTTGGCATGAGTTGGGGACAGTGGTGAGTAGTGGCTCAGGGGCTGCTAGTGTGTGCATTACAGGGACCCGGCTCTGTGGTGCGTGGTTTGTGTGCGCGCGAGTGTGCAGCCGGTCTAAGTGGCAGCGGACAGGGGAGGTGCACGGGCGGGGTGCACGGGTGTGCGGCGGCAGCACCCAATGGGTCTCCTAGGGGCGCGTGCGCCGGCTTCGTGGGGAGTGCGTTGTCAGGACTTTGGGGGTGCAGGGTGGAGGAGGGGGTGCACGTCGGGGGGGTCAGCCAGGCCGGGTGGGTTGGGGGTGGGGTGGGGGTCCCGGGGACGTTGCGTGCTCCACTCACCTCTGCTCCGCTCGGTTTTCTGAGCCTGTTCCCTGCGTCGCGGCCGGGAAGTTTCTGAAGCTCGGGCGGCGGGAAGCGCCACTGCTGCCGCCTAACGCCACCGGAACCCCCGGCGGCGGCCTTGCCAGGAGCTGAGGGGCAGCCGCCGTCGCTGCGGAGGGAAACTCCAAATCCCGCCCCCGCCGCCGCCGCCGCCTCCTTCGCCTCCTTCGCCTCCTCCCCTCCCGTCGCCGTCTTCTCCGCCCCCTGCCCAGGAGGGGCAATGTAGCTGGCGGCGCGCAGGGAGGGAGCGGGGAGGGGCCGCGGCCTTCCCGGCGTCTCCCTCCACCTCCCACGCCCCCGCCCGCCTTCCTCCCACCTGCAAGCTTCTGCCCTCTCCGCCCGTCCTGCACGAGGCGCCTTGCATTCCCCGGTCCCCAATGGCGCTACTGAGTGGGGACTTCCGAGCTTGGGGCGCCGGAGTGGGGTTGGGGGCCCTGAACTAGGCTGGGCCTGGGCTAGGGGGACGGTTGCTCCGCAGAATCTGCACCGGCACCCCAGCCAAGGGGCCCACTGAGGTCCCCAGAGCCATCTCCTGCTCCCACAGTGGAGAAGGTATAAAGTCTGGCTGACAGGGCTGCCAATTCCGCCCCCACCCCGGGTCCCCCTGCAGTGTGTCCTCTTATTCTCATGTGTCAGATTCTGGCTACTAGTAATAGCATTTGAGCCTCAGTGTCTGGAAGAGGTGGAGCCAGCATGTTGGGGGAGGGGCAGGGAGCAAGTAGGGAGCGGGTGCGGGTGTTGTCACCAGGTCCCGTTAGCTTTCTCCTCTGTACCACAGGTCACACCCATTGGCACCAAGGACCTCATTTTATCCTTACAGAAGTTCTGGAAGTCTGAGGAGATTGTCCCCATGTTACAGCCTGGGAAACTGAGGCCGTGGCTCCCTGATGGTGGCACAATAGTGTAGTGGCAAAGTGGGATGGGGCTCGGGCTGGCTGAGTTCAGAAGCCTAGAGCCTGAACCAGCGTGAGTGCGGAATATTGCGTGGGGAGGGGAGGGGAGGGGAGGGGAGGGGAGGGGAGGGAAGGGAAGGGAAGGGAAGCAGCCATCGAGGTCTGCACCTGGCCTTTCTGGGGCTCCCAGGTCAGCAGTGCATGAGCCTGGCCTCCTGCCTGCAGTGGAGGAGAGGTTGAGACCCGGCAGGAGGATGTGAGCATCAAGGGGGTGTCTTCTCCACCCAGGGAGCGCAGGATAAGGTGCGGCCAGGGAGGGCTGGGATGCCAGCAGCTCCGCTGGCTGCCTGGCTGTGTCTGCGGCAGCGCTGAATTCCCCTGAGTCATTACCCCTGGAAGAGACAAGGGCAGCAGCTTTGCCTCTGGAGCCCAGGTCCCTGCCCCATCTCTGGGTCTCCATTTCCTGGTCTGTACTTTTGAGGAGAGAGGTGGGACCATGTGATCTCCAAGGGCCCTCCTATCTGTGCAGTTTCAAGCCATGGTGAGTGAGCTGGGAGGGTCCTGCTGTGGCCAGCCAGGCCTGCCCGCCCTGCTCTGGGCCCGACTGCCCCTCTGCACCTTTTCAGCCTTGACAGCAGCAGAGTCCCTCCTGGAAGGAGGCCACTGGCCCTGCAACCGTGTACCTGTTCTGGACGCTGGGCCTCGTGGGGCTGCACAGGAGCTCTCCCCTACAGCCTTGGGGGGCCAGGCTGCCCAGGACTTGCCATGAAGGCGAGCATATGCAGCCGCCACTGGTGCCTGTACTGCTAGATGTGCTGAAGTTACGGGACCTTTCCTAAGAAAGCCATATACCATAGAAGCTGTGCCCTAAAAACAGGGGGCTGGCTTTCACATTCCCCCTGCACCGACGGTGCTTCCTGTTTGGAGAGGACGTGGGACAGCTGTGCCCGTGGCCTGGATGCTCAGCTGATCACCAAAGGCTTGGTGGGTGAGCTGACTCAGAGGAGTTTCTAGAAAGGTTGGTTAACACACCCCCCCCACCACCGCCACCATCCCGTGCTTTAGTGACTCAGGGCTGAGAGGCTGGGGGAGAAACGTTTGGATCGAATAATCCGCCCTCGTCCCTGCACAGCTCCCACTCCAGCCCTCCCAGTGTCTGCTTTACAGGCAACGAGACCATCGTTGCTGGAAAAGGAGCATGCAAAGGCCAGGCCTGCCCCGAGATGCCTCAGGAAATAGCGGTCCCCTCCTCATCCCCAGGGCTGGGGAAGAAAATGCAGAATGCTCCCAAAGGGGACTTGAGTGAGTGAAAGTTTGCTTCGCAGAACGAGGGCACAGCTGGGCCTCTGACTCCAAAGCAGCTGGGTCCATCTGCTGCTAACGGGAGTGACGGGGCGCTCCAGCCCTTGTCCTTTCCTCTGCGCCCCTCAACCCCCATTCCACCTGAACCCTAAGGCCACTGCCATCCTTCTCGTTCCTTCCTTGGGGATGGCCATTGGGAAGTGGCCATCTTGTTTCCTGTGAGACCCCACGCCCTCCCAAACCCCAGAGGTGCTCCCCAGAGACCCTGAAAGCAGCCCCAGGAACTGCCAGCCTGGGGCAAGGTGGAGGGGCCAGGGAGCTGCGCTTTGCTTGGGGTAGAGACTTCGTTAGCCTGGCAGGGCCTCAGGCGGCTGGCCCGACTGACGCCCTCTGACACGGAAGGCTTTGGCTGCAGTTACCTGGACCTGTTAAGGGGCATTTTGTTCAGGTCCCGAATCTGGGCCACTGTCCAGGTGAATGAGGTTTTGGGGAGAGACTGTGGGAAAGGTGATGGCTGTCAAAGCCGAAGTCCCCAGGCTACCCTGCTGTGCCGGGTCCTCCCTGCCTGTCACCCTGCATGGAACCTGGGTCACATCTACGGGCCCTGGTGCCAGGGTGCACACACATCCAGGAGTTTATTTCTGGGTAACCATTGGGTCCTACAGAGGTGCCTTCTGCAGCTGAAGCCATCTGTTCACATGACAAGCCCCTCCGCTGTCCCTCCAACTCCTCCTTCTGAACCCCTCCGAGATCTGAATCTTCTAGATTCACCCCAGCTACCAGCTGCCGTGCCTTCAGAAGCACCCTACCTGTTCACAGCATCTCCCAATGGAGCCATGCCCAGACGTTGAAACAAAATGGCCTATAGTGGCTCTGAAATCTCACTTGCAGAGGAGGTCAAAGGCAGGCCAGTTAGGAAGCCAAGAGCCCAGGGGTGTGAGCAGGGAGAGATGGGAGGTAGGCGAGAGGGAAAGGAGGGGGCAGAGCAGAGAGCACCAGCCTGTGCAGCGATTGATTTCTGGGGGCCAGGACCTGGCGAGCCATTAACACCCCCATTCCAGGAGGGCTCAGGTTCAGGTTCAATACAATCCCCCTCCGGCCAGCTGCACGGGCTCCCTCTCCTTGTCTTGTCCTCCCAAGCAGCAGTGCACGTGTGTCTGGATATACATTACAGATGATATAATCCTTTTACTGGGAGAACCAGCTGCCCGCACCCCTGGGCTGGACGGGGAAGGGAGGCGAGGGGAGACAAGGAGTCTCTGTCCAGACCCCATGCAGCGGGAAAGGAGGAGAGAGGGTAGCAGGTGACTTTCCCGCATGCCCCAGGAGAGAGGGGAGCCACCAGGAGTGAAACAACGGGGCTGGGGGTACTGGGGGTGCCAAGGGCGTGCCCAGACGGCCTGGCTCCCTGCTGTGGAGCCCCCTCCCTTGCTGCCTTTCTGGCCACACTTCAGCATCCTCCCCCTGCCCCCGACAGGAACATGCTTCTCCAGTCAGGCGGTCTCATCACAGGTAACAAGATAAGGCACGAGACAGGCAGACGTGGCTGGGCCCAGGCGGGGGCTTGTGGCGAGCACTGGCCCTGGCTCAGATGTCTGTAGGGGTGGAAAGGGGCTCCTAGAGACTGCGGGATTTTCTCATCTCACTCCTTGGGGGCCTCTGCCCCTGCGTGTTGTCATAGCACCTGTTGGCTTGTCTGGCTGCATCCCTCTGCCACTCCCCACGTCCTGCCGGCACTGCAAGGTGCAGCCTGGGCCTGGACCCATCCCAACCCTCAGGCTGCTGAGCCCCTTGCTGCTCTGGTGTCCGGGTGCACCCAGCACCTCTCCTGACCACCACTGCTACTTGCCCAAGGCCCTGCTGCAATTGGGGGCACAGCTGGAGCTAGGGAGTCCCAGCTGATGGAGGCTGGTGCCCTCCAGGACAGGGCCTCCAGGCGGGCCACCCTTGGAAGCCATCCTGAGGCTTCCAACTTGCGCGCAGCAGCTCCAGGGACAGGTGAGGGTCTCCTCCTTCCCACCACTGGCGCCGTGACCCTGAGGACAAGCTGTGCTGTTTGCTGTACTTCTTGTTTGCTTCTGGATGAGGACAGTGAAGT